TATTAAATGGCAGCCATTTATCTACGACTTATCTCACACTGACCTTTTACTTTATGATATTTCAGATACCTAGAGTTGTATACATCTCTTTCAATTTTAGAAATTCAAATTATTTCAGAGCAAAGAAGCACTTGATGAAATTCACCAGAAGAGGCTCTGAGAGAGGTATTGTGAGTAACTGTTTACCGTATATACTCGAGTATAAGCCAATTTTTTTCAGCACATTTTTAATGCAGTTTTTGTGGTAAAATTAGGTGCCTTGGCTGATATTCGGGTCAGCTTATACTCAAGTACATATGGTATTACTTTGATACTACTTAAAAAAAAACACCCCAAAAACCTCTCATGTAACACAGCTGGTAAGTGGTACACTAGACTCCTGAACTCTTAATCCTAGATATCTTGTCTTTAGTATAACAGTCCCCATGTTATCAATGTCCACCTTAGGGAAAACTACATCTGTTTTAATGCTATGTCCATTTGTCTTGATAATGATTGAACCAATTGTGTTAGGCTGGGTTGTCTAGAGGAACAAATCCAGTCACACTCACCTATGTATAAGAAAGCTTTATATCAAGAAGTATGTGTCAAGAAGGCATCCAAGCCCAACCCAGATCAAATCCATAAGTCTGATGCTAGTCCACAAGCCCCTCTTCATTCTGGGTGGGCTTCTTTGCAGAGTGGACAATTATAAAACAGGCCAGATATGCTGTCTTTATTGGTCCTCATCCAATGCTTGGTTTCTCTTAGAGGGGTGGAAGTGAAGCCAGAAAGGCAGAATCAAGCACTAGAGCATGATTCAATATAGGAACACATTCTTTTAAAATTCAAAGCATTTGCATGGCTTCTTAGACTGCATTATAATGGACTATACGCTAGTTGATTGTTCATTGTGGTCAATATTCAAATCATCAATATCCACTAACATCAAGTAGGAGCCCTAGAAAGAACCTTGGTGATGCTGGTTAAGTGCTCAGCTGCTAACTCAAAGGTTGGTGGACTGAACCTCAGCAATTCCCTGGGGAAAGAAAACTGGCCATCTACTCCTATAGAGATTACAGCCCAGAAACTACAGGCAGTCCTACTCTGTCATACAGGGCCAATATGTGTTAGAATCAACTCCACAACACACCACCACCACCAGCAGCAGCACTATGCATACCTAAATCAGATACTTTGAAAATTCAGCTTCTGTTTACCTATCACAGATTTCAAGTATGTATATGTGGCTATTAAAATCTTGCCTGTTCTAAGTATGTAGAAACCTTGTTAGTCCTCAGAATAACCCAGTGTGACAGATTGTGTTAGGCTGGGTTGACTAGAGAAACAAATCCAGTGACACTTCTATATGTGTATGAGATAGCTTAATATCAAGAAATAATTATGCATCAATAAAACATCCCAGCTCAAGTCAATAAGTGTGACACTAGTCCATATGTCCCCCTTCATACTCATGAAGCCACATGCAAAGATGCAGAATGCGGGAATATCACTGGCTGGTGGGGTGCAAAGTCTTTTGGATCCAATGGCAGTGGATGCATCTTCAGGGCTCCTGCCAGGTCTCAGAGTGGCTTGCCCGCAGGAAGGTGAAGCAGGTGGAGGGTTGGGGGAGGTTCCCAGGACCCTCTTTATGAGGAGGTCACACCCACAAGGAGCCACCAGGCTGTGACCTGATTGACAGGCTAGACTCCACCCCTATACTTCAAGTTGACACAAAATTGGGTAACTACCACACAGATCACAGATGAGGAAACTGAGACACAGAGAGATTAAGAACCCTGCATAAAGTCATTCACCTCAGAGAACTGGAAATTGAAATCAAGTAGTCTGGCTCATCACTCCTGCCTGGCAGCCAATTGAAATGCTCATTCATGGACCTAAGGTAACTTCCAGTGAAAGTCAGGGAGTGTACCTTTGGGCCTTATTTCCAGGCATGCAACGCTCCATTTCTCTCAATAGTTTTATTAAGAAGCACGGGATGCTATGCCAAATGATTCTTGACTTTGGAATTAGGAATCAGAAGTCAGAGCACAGACTCTTTGTTGGGTGGGGGAAAGAACTGAGTCTCTGCTTCTGAGTCCAGGCATTTCTTGGTTCTTTGGCATCTACTTTTCCCTTTAGGAGTCCTGGTGGTGTAGTGGTGACGAGTTGGGCTGTGATCTGCATGGTCAGCAGCTTGAATCCACCAGCAGCCACCACGGGAGACAGGCTGTAAACAGCTACAGTCTTGGAAACCTACAGGGGTCACTGTGAAATAGCATTGACTCGATGGCAGTGAGTTTGGTTGGTTTTCTTTCCCTTCATCTGTGAGTACTTCCTTGTTTCGCTGACGAATCTCCTTCTGCGTGTCAGCAAGGATTGGTTCAATACACATCCTACACTGGTATTGTTAGATCTCTCAGGGGAGAGATATACCTCGATCCTTGGTTCTTCGCGAGAAAGAATTCACACTGAAGCCTGGTTTGTGATCCCAGTAGATTTATAGAGAATAGTAGCAGTTTGAGGTTCTACAGTAAATGGAACACAAGCCAGAAAGAATCCGTGGCACAGTTGCAGGATGGCGGCCTGGCCACTCTGGATCACAGGCCAGCTGTGCTACATCGTGTAGCAGCCGCTGGGGAAGAGCATGCCAGAGCAAAACCGCTGGCTTTTCCGGAGCCCCCTTGGGAGGCGTGGTCAATGATACTGGTCGACCCCATTGACTGAATCAAATTCACCTGGCTTAGATGGGCCAATCCAGGTGTAATGCCCACCTAGGTGTACCACCCCTTCCTGGACAGAAGTTCGAAACTCTGAGCATGTGTAATGGACGCCCCAGTCCCTATGCTAGCTACCTAACAGTAGGCCTCATGAACATAAGAAAAAAACCTTCTTCCTAAATGGGATTATATTCCCAGGTATAAAGATATAAAGGTTAAGATTTACAACACATATTTGGCGGGGGTGGGGGGCGGCGGGACACAAATCACTACACAATGGGGTAGCAGGGAGTTTTCTTTCACAGATGATGAAACTGACGTTCAGAAGGGTGAAGACTTCCCCAAAGTCCCACAGATAGTGGAATCGAGTAACCCGACCTCCAAGTCCGATGCTCTTCCTGCTACCTGGACTCCTGTTCCTGCACTCTGAACTTTGTGTTACCTTGGCTACAGCGTAGAACATAGAGTGTCTAGAAACCTGGACACTGCCTACTCGGTGCCAGAGCTGAGAAGGTCTCTGAGGTCATCTTAACTACCAGGTATGTATGGAGTTCTCTCCTTCCCGTGATTTGCTGTCCATATCTGGGAAGGCTAGGGCCCTGTCACCAAGAGCTCACTGGTGGTGACGGGCTTCTTGACAGATGCGTCAGTTATGCCGTCTTTTTGGTCGGAGCCCAGTCTTTTTCGCGTACTCCAAATTACCAGAGAGGAAGTGAGTGTGAAGCAGGAAGCCTGAGAGACACACAAAAGCCACGTGACGGGCTCAGGTGAGACTCCCAACTTGCTTTGATGTCACATTCCACCTTTGACAAAGGCGCCATTTGAATCATAATAGTCCTTTTGTGGTTTGGCTGTTATGCAAAAGGGACGGACCTTTGCCTTCAGCAACCAATTCTTCTAAGAGCAGTTCTGATAGGGAATGGGCGTTAAGTAGAAATGGTCAAGTCCTTGTGGCTCCTTTTTTATACAATTATGAAGTTACAAAGAGATGGATGGCCAGCTCCTAAGAAAACTTTAATTTCTGGATCCTTTACAGTTTTGTCAGCAGGTGGCGCTTCTCTCCTCCTCACTCACCAAATACCATCTTCCTCCACGAAAAGAAACCCTGGTCCTTGGCTTTCACCGAGTTCCTCTCACTCTCCTCAGACCCCGCTTTCAAACCTGCCGGCATGGAGGCGATTCTGACGCCTAGCGACCTCGTAGACCAGGGTAGAATTGCCCCCACGGGGTTTCCAAGTCTGTAATATTTCTAGAAGCAGCTTGGACATCTTTTCTCCCTAGAGCCATTGGTCCTAACTAGCAGTTTAGGGTGCATTATCTGTTTATGTTTTATTTATTGAAACCCTCCTTCCCCAAGGGGATTCTCTGTGAGGAAATGGAGAGCATACGTAGCAAAGAGAGTATCACATGTGATTAATATTGGAGCAAGCAAGAAAACATACTGATAAGAGTTCTCATTACCAAGTCTCTGGGTGAGTGGGAAGAGAGAAAGGAAGGGACTTTTCTAGCACTGGTAATTTTAAAAAAATTTCTCACCTAAGATTTTTGGAAGCAAGTTTCTGCTGTTCATTTCTCAAGTCTCCAACTGGATTCATGGTCCTTGGCTGGAGGGCAGAGTTGTAAGGCTAACCTGCAGCCGGAAGGCCATGCACGCAGCATCCATTCACCTGCCAAGAAACTACAACTTTTAAGGATCTCTGTCTATTAGCTAGGTTTCAGAGTTTCCAAACGAATTGAAGAAAAAAATCTCTTCTCCCAGAGAGTCTTTCACTAGCTGGAGAAAAAAAAAGAAACGACGTCTGTAAGCTTAGCAAAGTCAGAAAGCTATCTTAGCCAATGTTATAACCAAATGATATTTGAAACCTGTCGTGGTTTTAATAGGGTTCCCCAGGATTGTTCTGGTTATTTTGAAAGAAATCAGTAAATTCCATCTCGGTCAAGTTCTAGGAAGTTGCTCATCAGAGATCAAAACTGAGTTTCTCCGGCTCTATACATTTCGAAAAGGGGTGGACTGCCCGCAAAACTGGGATAGGCGGAGGTTGGCGTGAGAGAGGGGACAGGGAGTCCACGTCCACCCACAAGATGCGTCCCGGTCAACCGCAATTGGATGGCCAGCCTTGCCCGCCCATCACTGCCTGAGCTTCGGGCCGGGATTCCGAGGGCGGGGCGGGGGCACTCCAGGGAACCAGGCGCGGAGCAACGGGCTGAGTGCGCTTTGTGGCGCGCGCGGGTTCCAAAGCGGGCGGCGCGGAGGCGGGGCCGCACCCCGGGGCGCGGGTCGTACCAACCGCCGGCCCGCTCATGGCCGGGCCCGGGCCGCTAGGCTTCCCAGCGCGCACTAACAGCCGCCTGGACACGTTCCTGCGGCGGCACCTGCCACCCGAGGTCTACGACGCCATCCGCGCCTACGAGCCCTGCGTCGTGGTGTCCGACTCGGAGAACCGCACTTGCAAGTACGTGGTGCTCAGCGACCGCCTCATCTACTTGACCGAGAACCCGCCCAGGTCCATCCGGCGGGTCGTGGCGCTGCGGGACGTCGTAGCCATCGACCTGGTGAGCAGCGCGGGCGGGTGGTCGCGGGAACGCAGCGAGGACCCTCCTTTTAGGGTTCTCCTTTTCCAGCCCTTCCGCTCTCAGGGAGGAAGAGGAGGAGGAGGAGGAAGCCCTTTCCCACCCTGCCCTGGACTCCCACACTCTCCTTAACTTTTTCAGCACAAAGGAGGCATGTTCACGCTACATAGAGATGCCTTTCTCCTCCTCCAACTCCTCCTCCTCCTCCTCCCCCCCCTCCCCCACAGCGTGGGAACATAGCCTTCTCGTCAAAACCGTCATGTAAAAGTCCCTAATTCTCTCCTTAAGCACCTACTCACTCAGGCGCCGCGCTACGGCGTCACCTTGCAAAAACCAAAAAGGGCCACTTCCTAGCCGCGCGGTGGGAGAGGCACAAAGCCAACACCAACGCAAATAAATGCCGTGCGATAAGTGCTCGCTATGAATAAATGAATGGATGGATGGAACGGCTTCATGAGCTGTGTGCTCGGGATGCCCACCGGCGCGGTTAGAGCCAGGCTGGGTACCGGCAACTGGGAGAGCTCCCTGGACAGGAGTGTCAGCAGCGCTGAGACTTGCAAGAGACAACCTGGAACTAGTCAAGCTTTGTCCCAGTTTTGAGTGTGCTGGTACTCTATCCCTTTCCTCCAGCAGATTTTCCTATAATCCTGCAACAGATTGGGAGCAGTATCATTCTCCAATTACTGCCCCCTCCTCCCCGTCCCTGTCGCTGGCTTGCCTGGTTTGAGGTACTCTCCTGCTGTTTTTCCCATTTTCCTTTGGGGATAGGTGTCTAGCCTCCTCGGTTTGGTTTTTCTTCTTTTGCCTGAGCATATCCTCCTGGGAAAGATTGGCACAACTCTTGATGGGGCTGTTTTCCCCAGAGAATCATAGGTGGTTTTTTGAAAGCATTCGTAAGAAAAACAGTAATATTAAAGGAAAAAATAAAAATATTGGCTTTGTGCAAATTTCTTCTTCTTCTCCTTTTTTTTTTTGAGTAAGAATTGAAAGAAAACTTTGCCTTTTTACTACTGGTCACTACCTCCATTCTCTTGAACTACAACTTAAAAAAATTAAAACTTCCTTCAGCAAATGTTTCAAAATACATTATTTTGTATTCTCCAGTGTGAACATTTACTGCTTGATTAAAAAGAGTAATAGTTTTAGGATATTGATACTCTTCACCAGAGGAGACCAGAAGTTATGCTCTCTCTCTCTTTTGAAGCCATCCGAATCTGAAGAACACAGTAAAGCACAGGCCTGTGGAGCAAGACTCCTAGCAGGAGGCATCACGGCTTTGGTCTTGCATCATGTGCAAAGTTCATCACTCCACTTGGGCTTACATGTCATATTGGTAAATGTGCTGAACACAGCTCAGATCTCAGCACTGAGCAAAGAAATGGAAGTCCATTTTGTCCAATTATAGTTGAACTACTATCTCATCAATTATAATTTTACTTGACCTCCTCAAAGAACGTGTCCACTGTGGCTTGGGCAGAGTTTTTCTAAAAGGCCCACAATGTCTTTAAATGTTAACTTTTGAAAGATTTTTCCAGGTATTTGCTCTTGTGCTTATCAAAAGAGTATTTTTCAATTAGGCCTTTCTAAGATTTGACTTCTTTTTCTTCTTTTTAATCATTTTATTGGGAGCTCTTACAGATATTATAACAATTCATTATTCATTTAGATCAAACATAATTGTGCAGTTGCTGATTTGGCTTCTTAATAGTTTGTTTCTAGTTGCATTATTGCATTCAGTTCTAGAGAAACTTCATGAGGGCAGGCACCTTGCAAATTCGATTCACCTCTTTGTCCCTACTGAGTGCAATGATAGTGTATTGGTCAGGATAGCCGAGGTTAAGCTTCTGTAACAAACATCACCAAAATCTCAGTGGTTTGACACAGCATGAAATTTATGCTCACTCACTACATGTTCATCATAGATTAGCACAGGACTTTGTTTATTTTAGTCACACATGTGACACACTGTCTCAGACTGTCATGATAGCTTAACCACCATGGCAAGAGGAACTAATTTGCCAAATTTATAGACTGGTCTTTAGCAGATTTTGTCTTGTCACTTCTCACCATTTCATTGCCAGGATCAGAAAATGGTCTAACATAAAGGGAGTGGGGAAACCAAGTCCTGTTACTTATTTATGTATTCCACACGTCTCGAAAAAAACGGGAATCTTTGTTAACAGCCTGAATTAAAACAAAACAAAACAAAATTTTAAAACCTACTTCAAATTACTGACACTTGGAATAATGCTTAGTCCTGACCCTCAGCTGCTGTTTTAAGTGCTTGGGACTTCTTTTTTTGAAAAATCATTTTATTGAGGGCTTGTACAACTCTGATCACAATCCATACATACATCTATTG